CACAATATTTTGTGCAAAATCTGACCTGTGGAAGTCATTTTATGATAAATTAAAGTCTGACATAAACTGACCTGTACAAGTCATATTCTGTTGAGTGCAAGAAGGGAGACAACACTTACATCAAATTATATCTGACCTATGGAAGTCATTTTATTCTGACTTGTTTATGTCAGAGCTCTGACTGCATGTGCTTTACTTACTATGTAATACGCATGCGTGAAATTGTCTTCAGCAAATTTAATATTTAAATCGTAAAATGCAAATTGATTTCATGCTAAATTAAACGAGTGCAACTATTATCTGTTATATTCAAACACTTTTAATAAAATAAAAAAGCCATAAAAAGCCGGTGATTTCCTGTCAATTTGATAAACAAAACAAATCCCGGAAATGAATCCGGAATTATTCGTACTTTAAAATATCGCAAACTTTCGGTTTTAACTTTTGTCAAATTGAAAGAAACGTAAGCAATGTCTGAGAAATTAACCATTTTGAGTCATTAAAATCATTTCAATTTTAGACTGTTGAAACAACAATACAAGTTCGTCATGTTCTTTGATGCTATGAATATAGTCAAGTTGATATCGACAATTTGAAAAGGGGCACCAACTTTTCAAACATCTCAAAATGACCGAAATTGTCTGGAAAAATTTCCGGATCCTTGTATTTGACCTATTGCTAATAGTTTAAGAAAAACAGACCAATACACAAAACTTAACACTGAGCAATGAATCGTGAAAATGAGGTCAAGGTCAAATAAAACCTGCGAGACTGACATGTACATCATAAAATATTTCTATGCACCAAATATAGTTGACCTATTGCATATAGTATTAGAAAAAAATAACAAAACTCAAAAACTTAACTTTGACCACTGAACCATGAAAATGAGGTCAAGGTCAGATGACACCTGCCAGCTAGACATGTACACCATACAATCATTCCATACACCAAATATAGTAGACCTATTGCATACAGTATAAGAAAAACAGACCAAAACACAAAAACTTAACTATAACCACTGAACCATGAAAATGAGGTCAAGGTCAGATGACACCTGCCAGTTGGACATGTACACCTTACAGTCCTTCCATACACTGAATATACTAGACATATTGCTTATAGTATCTGAGATATGGACTTAACCACCGAAACTTAACCTTGTTGACTGATCCATGAAATGAGGTCGAGGTCAAGTGAAAACTGTCTGACGGGCAAGAGGACCTTGTAAGGTACGCACATACCAAATATAGTTATTCTATTATTCAAAATAAGAGAGAAATTAATATTACAAAAAATCGTAACTTTTTTTTCAAGTAGTCACTGAACCATGAAAATGAGGTCAAGGACCATGGACATGTGACAGACGGAAACTTTGTAACATGAGGCATCTATATACAAAGTATGAAGCATCCAGGTCTTCCACCTTCTAAAATATAAAGCTTTTAAGAAGTTAGTTAACGCCACCGCCGCCACCGGATCACTATCCCTATGTTGAGCTTTCTGCGACAAAAGTCGCAGGCTCGACAAAAATTACTTGATATTTAGAATAAAATAAAAATTTTGCAATTTTTACATTTATAAAGGGGCATAACTCTAGAACGGTTAAAGTGACGCCACCAAAATTCAAACTTGATCTGTGTTTTGTGGTAATAAGCATTGTGTATAAGTTTCATAACATTTGGTTGAGGCAAACTTAAGTTAGAGAATGGAATTTAAAAATTTTGCATTTTTTCCATTTATAAAGGGGCATAACTCTAGAACAGTTAAAGTGACGCCAACAAAATTCATACTTGATCTGTGCTTTGTGGTAATAAGCATTGTGTATAAGTTTCATAACATTTGGTTGAGGCAAACTCTAGTTAGAGAATGGAAACCAATTTTGGGACGTGTACGTGCGTACAGACGTACAAGGGTAAAACTTAATGTCCCCACCGCTACCGCGGGGGCATAATAAAAATTCGTAAGGGTTCCGCGGAACCCAGTGTCTCGCCTACTTTTTCTGTTAATCGCAGGCTCAACAAAAATGAGGAAGTAAATCAATAAAAATATTCCTTTTGATACTATCTTTTGATTGTAAGAAGCTTCTGTCCAAGTTTGGTAAAAAGCCAGGATAGTTTATGAATCTAATAAAGGTTTAAAAACTTTTAACTGCAGACTGAATGTAATGTTAACTGGAAGAAAACAAAATTTCCTTCTAGATACTAGCTTTTGATCATAAACAAGCTTCTGTCCAAGTTTGGTACAAATCCAAAATAGTATAAGAAAGTTATTAAAATTTTAAAAACTTTAACCACAGAGTGAATGTGTTGTTTCCTGGCAGAAAATCTAAGTCCATTTAAAAGTAAAAAATGGAAAAAATGGATTTATTTTTTTTACAAAATTTCCTTCTAGATACTAGCTTTTGATCATAAACAAGCTTCTGTCCAAGTTTGGTACAAATCCAAAATAGTATAAGAAAGTTATTAAAATTTTAAAAACTTTAACCACAGAGTGAATGTAATATTTCCCGGCAGAAAAACTAAGTCCATTTATAAGTAAAATACGGAAAAAATGGAATTTTATTTTTACAAAATTTACTTCTGGATACTATCTTATGATCATAAACAAGCTTCTGTCCAAGTTTGGTAGAAATCAAGGATAGTTTAAGAAAGTTATTAAAATTTTAAAAACTTTAACCACAGAGTGAATGTAATATTTCCCGGCAGAAAAACTAAGTCCATTTATAAGTAAAATACGGAAAAAATGGAATTTTATTTTTACAAAATTTACTTCTGGATACTATCTTATGATCATAAACAAGCTTCTGTCCAAGTTTGGTAGAAATCAAGGATAGTTTAAGAAAGTTATTAAAATTTCAAAAACTTTAACCACAGAGTGAATATTTGTGGACGCCGCCAACGACGACGACGCCGACGCCGACGGAATGTAGGATCGCTATGTCTCGCTTTTTCGACTAAAGTCGAAGGCTCGACAAAAATACAAGACTAACAAAGGCCAGAGACTCCTGACATTGGACAGGCGCAAAATGCAGCGGGATTTAACATGTTTTGTGAGATCTCAACCCTCCCCCTATACCTCTAGCCAATGTAGAATAAACAAACACACAGCAATACTCACAGTAAAACTCAGTTCGAAAGAAGTCTGAGTCTGATGTCAGAATAGATAACAGAAGAAACTAAGCAAAATGACAATGATACATAAATTAACAAAGTACTACTAGCAGTTACTGACATTCCAGCTCCAGACCTCAATTAAACTGCTTGAAAGATTATGTCTTCGTCATATGAAAATCAATCACAATCCCTCCCTTTAGGGGTTTAGTATCATACCATCATAAAATATATGAGAAGAACATACCCTGTATCATGCCAACAACTGGTTTTAGAATAAATGTGTTTATTTCCAATGTAAAGACCCTATGAGTGAATTAATATTAATTCCAAAATATGCCATTTTTAATGACCTGACAACAGTATCGTAACTATATCCCTTCTGAATAAGTCTGTTTAAAGGTTTGGTTAGCTTTTGAAATGAATGACGACATTTTTGTGCTTTGTATAGAATATTACCATAAAAGATTGGATGTGAAATACCTGAACGTATAAGATGTCACGAATGATGTCCTTGTACCGATGATAAATTTTAGTAAATGTTTTGACTAGTTTATGATATTGAAAACCCTGGTGTAACTTGTTAGATTTAAACCAGGAATGTTTTTAATTTTAATAAAAAAATTACTTCCAAAAAGATGGATTGATGTCCGGTACAAATAGTTTACCTGACAGAGGTGATCACAGGTAAATCTCACCTGTTAGACACTTAATTAACCTTGATTGTAATGAGAGGGGATTATAGTAGGGCTTGTTTATAAGAGTACTGTCACTTTTATGACCGGAAAAGTGTGGCTGTTGAAGGCACAAGGTCAAGTCAAAATGGTTGATTTATCTGAGTTACATGAATGTTGAAATAGTAAACGCACATAGGATGTCCGTTTCATGCCCAGTCGGACAATGTCCGATAAATTTATATTTGTCCAGCAAATATGACTGTTTTGGAAGCCTTGATTTGGACTCTAGTGGATAGTTCTCACATTACCACATCACCTTATTTTTATAAAGTCAAAAAAATTGTGAATAGATTATAAAACACATCTTAAAGCATCCAATTTTTAATCTATGATTGATTGAAAGTTGTTTGCTTAATATCCAGTACCAATTATTTTGTGATTATTCAGGATGAGAAACTATTAACATTTAATAAAGCAGGTAGGGTCTGCAATATTGACCGAAACACAGATACAAATCAATATACCCCTCTCTTTTATGAGTGGGGGTATCGAAAAGTGTACTTTTTAATAAATAGCGTAAAATTTATTGAATAACATACTCCTTTTAATAAATTATAACTCGAACTTTAACTAAAATGGTGACTCTAAATCAAAGTGTAACTTGAAATGCAACTTGAACTCTTACTTGAAGTTTAACTCGAATTTAAAGCACAACTCAAACAAGAACTGGATAGTTAGCCACACTCAAAAGCGTCCACCCTGTCCTCTAATTATATGACTGTACCTCACAGTATATTTCAGCAACATCATAAGAATATTTGAAAGCTTTGAAAAGGGAAAGGAATATTTCAAGATAATTTTCCCAAAAGACCTCTTTTAAAATAAGTTTCCATTGGAACAAAGAAATATCTTATTGAAAATGTATGCTTCATATTCTATTTTATGGTAAATTCATAATTATATTTTACATTGTACCGGTACAAAGAAGCTGAGACTTCCAATAATTAATTGATTATCAAACACCAATAATCAACTTTTCCTTAATATTTTGAAAACTCTGCATATTTTTATGGGAACCAAGGCTTTTTTCTCATGTTCTAAGATTGTTTCATACTAAATTCCTTTATTTTCTAAAAAGTCCTACCATGTTAGTTTCTTGTCATCCTATATCAATATATTTATTTTTCACATAGCAATTGTCTCTACTTACCATTAAAAGTTACTTGTTCTAAAAATCTTTTGATCATTGGCCCAGAGATATCAATGCCCTGCATCAATCCAACAATTCCTAAATGCCCACATTCCGCCAGCCGAAGACGGGTCTTACTTTTTTCATAAACTTTATCTGACTTAAGCAATAAATATAAAACCTGTAAAATAAATACTGTAAATTCAGAAATTATTGCGATGTTTTTATTATTGCGAAAAATGCGACAGGGTTATAATCGCAATAATTTAAACTCGTATTTTGAAATTTTTTATATGAATTAAACAGGATTTTTCTCAATATCGCAAAAATTAAAATCGCATTTTAGTCTAAAATGACAAAATCGCAATAATAAATGCACGCAATAATTTCTGAATTTACAGTAGACACAGTGTAGATACTATTCTGTACGCTATCTGGAAGTCGCGATTTTCGAAGCGAGAACTTTTTGGATCACATTTTAAATTTGATGGATATACTGAATTAAACGGTAAGTTGATCATCTGTACATTGCTTAATGATTAATTCAGCTGACATCGATATTCTCAAATGGTTTAGAATTAAATTCAGCACATTCATTATTCGTATCTTTGCCTTAATCAAGAGATTTGTCATGGTGTGTTATTTGGCTAATATTTGTGTTAGTGTTATTTTGGATAAAAAAATATGTTTTATTTTAAGAAAGAAAATTTAATGTTTGTATTTTGTAAAAATTTTGAATTAATTTTTGTTTAATAAATTTTACCTATCTTGTGGCAAGTACTCGACATGTCACAGTTTGCTCAAAGTAATTTGGTTTGAAATATTAATTGTAATTAGCATGTCACTAGGATATTTTAAGTTTTTATCAAAACATGAAGGGATTATGATTTGTTTAATTATTCTATTTTGCTAATGAGAGTACTATTTACATATTGTGTCATGTTGATTAGTTTTTGGTTTTAGTATAAATAGCGTTGTGAAATTTAGGAAAAGCAGTCATCTTTTCGGAACCTAAACTTGCACTGCTAAAGTCTATTATACTGGATCTGTAAGACTGTCGATCAGTCGACCAGTTGACTTTGTAGTGTTGAGACAAAAATTTATCTTTGACTCACCTTTTATTTTTTGATAATTTTTAAGAAAGCAGTCAGTGTTTCGGAAGCGTAACTTCTCACTACTCATGTCATGATACTGGACCTATAAGACTGTCTACCAGTCTACCAGTTGACTATGTAGTGTTGAGACAAAATTTATCTCTGACTCATAATTTAACTTTGGAAAATACTTTTGGGAATCTTTTATTTTTGAGACTTTTACATTTTGATTTTGAGATTAAGTTCATTTTATGATTTAGTAGTTTTGGCATTTATTTTACATTTTACATTGTAAGGAGAAATAGTTTTACTTTGGAGTTGATATTTAGATTTTTTACTTTGTACTTTAATTATTATTATTATTTGGCATTGTTTACTAATTGATTGTTATCATCATTCATCTAAATTGTTATCGTTAATTAAATTATGAAAACCTTCCTTGCGTTTTAGCTATGCCTATCAGAACATTAAGTCTAGCGATAGACTGACCCCCTGTCCCTTGGATCGAGTACATACGAGTTAGCTCCTCCTTATCTAACAGTGCTCTGGACCTTGGTGACAGATTTTCAAGTGCATCACTAAGGAAAATCAGTCGGTGAACCTAAAAACAATCTTTTTACCCTCTTAGTGTACAAATTAACGTAAAAACCAGACGTAATTAACTAAATGAAGTATATTTCAAGTGGTGGTAAAAGTTTCAACCAGATCTTTGAAGCCAGAAATAAGAAAATTACACTTGTTTGAATTTCTCACTGTACGATCAGTCTCGCTTGTATATTTTGAAACTGTATGATCAGTCTTTATTTCACTGTATTCTAGTGGTGATTTCAAAGTTATTTACGATACATTAGAAGGTGGCATTTTTCTAAATAACACAAATATATTTCAATAAATTCACATCCTGAAAACTTATGAAACATGTTTTAGCTTGATGGGGTGTACTCGACTTACTACATTAAGTATAAGGATGTTTAAATGTTGCTAAAATAAGAGGAAGGTTTGTTGTATATATAAGTTTCAGAAATGTCCTCCGTTATACTTAAAATTGTACAAACACACAGATTTAATTGTTATATAAAAATGCATGTATTTACACACATTTGAGGCCGTACTGTAGCCTATAATTGATCACAGTTCCTTCACTTTGTTTTGGATGTAGAGCTGTATCTTTGACACTCAATTGTACACCACTTGTAAAGCGGGGGTTTATAGTGATAATGAAGTCCGTCTTTCCGTTGGACCGGTACAATATGTTTCGTCGGTTTTGTAAGTGCATCTCCTCATAAACCACTTAAAATACATTGTGGGTTCCAGCCATTTTTAAATGGAGAGGGGGTCCAATCCAGGAGAAAAGGGATTCCAAATATATGTTCCCATACAAATGCCGTCTACAAAAATCATCAGAAATATATTTGTATTGTCTGATGAAAGAAATTACACGTTATAGTTCCCTGGACAGTTATTAATATCACATAGACACGTATATACCTTCAAATTGCCGTTGTTTCTTTTTCAAAATCACGACTGGTCATACAGTCAAAAAATCTGAAATCGCTTCTAGAATACAGTCAGTTCTAGACTGATCGTACAGTAATTTATTTTGGGATCCTCAAGGAAAACATATTTTTTTATGGGAAATACGAATATTCTACTTAAATACGAAAAGAATATTGAAACAGTATATATTTAACTGTAAACTGATGCAAATATTTGCATTAAAAGATTATTTGCTTTGTACTGCGAGAGCAAAATTGTCCATCGATTTCACTTTTTTCTATCAAGTTGGTGTGATGCACACGTATATTTTATATTCTTATGCATGTTTTTGTTACAGTTACTCATATTTATGATGCTATACATACCTTGAAGATGTTCAAAGCACTTTATAGATAAAGGAGTAAACAAATGATGAGAAAAGTCACCATAGTCAAAACCATCCTGTTTGCCAGTTGGAAATCATCGCTTCGAAAATCGTGACTTCCAGATAGCGTACAGAATAGTATCTACACTGTGGTAGATGAAATAAAATATCCCTTATTAGAAATAAGCTTTTCTTCAAGACCACAAGAGATTAGGACAATTCTCTCTTGAATCCCTAATGGAGCAAGTATCAAATCTTTTAAAACAACTAGTACAATATGAATATTTTTAATATTTCCAAAAATGTTCTTATTATCAAATGTTATTCAATACTAGACGTTTGCTTGTGAAAGTAAATATTCTTCAGAATCATGGTCATGGAGCATATGAAAAAAAAAACCTTGTCAAGTGTTTGTCTTTAATTATAACTTAACAGAGTTTTTTTTTTTGTTCTTGATAGATTTTTGTGTCTTTGATAGTCTTGTGTTTTGGGGGTTGTTGGGGGAATATTTGATTCATGTATTCTCTACATCTCCTATGATATATACTCTACTAAATAATAACATTTAATTTCACCTTGACAATTTTTTCATAGAAAACAACTGAGTATCCTTGGTGTACCAACAAACCATATAACATCTCTCCCATGTCTGCCTCAAATAACAACAAAAATAACTGGTCCTGTTTACGTGGGTTCTCTAAAAGTGATATCAATACATCTAAAATCTCACATATCTGAAACAAATAAAAATGGTAGGTTTCAAATACATTTTAGCACCCAGAAATTCAACTCAAATCAAATATTAAATACAAGTTATACCAGGTAGGATTAAGTACTCACAATGTATGTTGTACTGTGCAGTATTTTTGATGATTCATGTTATGTCTTTTTATGCAGTATTCATAAGCCATATGTTCAAATTCCTGTTACAATCACATATCTCATTTGAATCATGTGGCAATCTCTTGTTTTATTTCAGTATTTTTAATTTTGTGTAAACTTTTATTATTTCATTGCTGTTTCATTGACAATAACTTCTGTCATTCATATCTATAAATGATGAAATATTCCAGAAAAAAATACCAAGGAGAGTAAGAAAACTGTTTTTTTTTTTCCTAGGTGGGTGGGTGATATAGGTATTGCATTTCTGATGGTAGTTGTCATAATTGAATTAAATTGTTAATAATTCCTTATATTTTTTGGGTCTTGTGACATTTGTCAGCTTTTAAATCTCTGTTGGTGGACATAAAACTTTCTGTGAAGCCTGAAAATTGAACCAAAATTTGTGATCACTGCTTGAAACTAGTATTAGGGATGAGTTGCAGAAAACAGAATGGCAAACCATTTTTTGGTTATTCATATAGCTTATTTCATGATAATAGCCTACTTCCAGTTTGAACCAGTTAAAAAATATGAGGAAAACTCCAATTTTGAATAAGAGGTCCCATTTGAATAATGATCTTACTAGTTATAAATCAATTGTGAGCAACAAATTAGACCACTTTTAAAACTAGAGGCTCTAAAGAGCCTGTGTCGCTCACCTGCATCTTCAAAATTGATTTAGTAAAAATCATCATTGAAAGGGAACAACTCTATTAAGAGTTAACTGACAATTTCAGTCATGTTGACATATTTTTTAGATCTTATCCTGCTGATAATTTTTCCCTGCTAAAGTTTTTATCTATCTATCTATTATACTTTTCAAGATAATAGGCAACAAATGCATAAAAAATGTGAATAATTAACATTAAAGGGCAATAACTCCAATAGCGAGTCGACTAGAGATTTCGACGATAATGGCTTAATTGTAAATCTTGTCCTACTGATTGTCTGTGCTATTTAAAGTTTCTATTGTCTGTGCTATTTAAAGTTTCTATTGTCTGTGCTATTTAAAGTTTCTATTGTCTGTGCTATTTAAAGTTTCTATTGTCTGTGCTATTTAAAGTTTCTATCTATATATTACAGGTTTCAAGATAATTGTATTTAAAGGTTCTATTGTCTGTGCTATTTAAAGTTTCTATCTATATATTACAGTTTTCAAGATAATTGGCAAAAAAGGGGAAAAATGGGGAAAATGGTCATTATAGGGGCAATAACTTCAATAAAGAGTCGACTAACAATTTTGATCGTGTTTTGACTTATTTGTAGATCTTGTCTTGCTGATCATTTTTGCTTTTTAAAGTTTCTATCGATCTAGTATAGTTTTTTTTAGATATTGACCAAAAACGCCAAAATTTGGTGAAAAATGTCATTAAAGGGAAATAACTCTACTATTGAGTCAACTGATGATTTTGGTCTTGTTTGATTAATTTGTAGATCTTGCCTTGCTGATCTTTATTGCTATTTAAAGTTTCTGTTTATCTATTATAATTTACAAGATAATAGGATAACAAAATTTTAAAATGGAAAATTCATCATTTAAGGGCAATAACTCTTTTAGGTGTAATGCCACCATTGTTTTTCCCCCATTTGTCTTTGTTAAATTTGCACTTTTCAAAAAATTGTGCAGAATTTATCTTTGTTTCAAATAAAGAAATACTTGGCATGAGTAAAGTTTTATCCTGTCTAGTACTACAGACAAAATTTCACATAACATTTCATTGAATATAAGAAAATAACCATCATTGGAAGTTTACCAATCAAATTTTCACCCCTTTTTTCCTGTGTACAAGCTTTAGTAACCATGTAACCTCAAGTTTTTCCATGCATCAAATATAGTTGACCTATTGCTTATACACTGTAGTATCTAAGAAACAAAGTTAACCAGGAAAACTGAACATTGACCAATGAACCATGAAAATGAGGTGAAGGTCAGATGATACCTGCCAGACTGACATATACACCTTACAATCATTCCATATACCAAATGTAGTTGACCTATTGCTTAAAGTTTAAGAAAAACAGACCAAAACACCAAAACTTAACATAAGCAATGAACCATGAAAATAAGGTTAAGGTCAAATAAAACCTGCCAGACTGACATGTACATCGTAAAATACTTCCATACAACAAATATAGTTGACCTACTGCATACAGTATTAGAAAAACAGACCAAAAAACAAAACTTAACTTTGAGCAATGAACCATGAAAATGAGGGCAAGGTCAAACAAAACCTGCCAGACTGACATGTACATCGTAAAATATTTCCATACACCAAATATAGTTGACCTACTGCATACAGTATTAGAAAAACAGACCAATATACAAAAACTTAACATTGAGCAATGAACCGTGAAAATGAGGTCAAGGTCAAATAAAACCTGCCAGACTGACATGTACATCGAAAAATATTTCTATACACCAAATATAGTTGACCTTGTTCACTGATCCATGAAATTAGGTTGAGGTCAAGTGAAAAATGTCTGACAAGCATGAGGACCTTGCAAGGTACGCACATACCAAACATACCAAATATAGTTGTCCTATTACTCATAATAAGAGAGAAATTAACATTACAAAAAATCTTAACTTTTTTTTCAAGTAGTCACTGAACCATGAAAATGAGGTCAAGGACAATGGGCATATGACAGACGGAAACTTCATATCATAAGGCATCTATATACAAAGTATGAAGCATCCAGGTCTTCTACCCTTTGAAATATTAAGCTTTTAAGAAGTTAGTTAACGCCACCGCCAGATCACTATCCCTATGTCGAGCTTTCTGCGACAAAAGTCACAGGCTCGACAACAACTGTCATTTTCAAGGGAATATTTTTTTTCGACCCTTTTTCGTATGCAACCGGATGTGACGTACTATGATTTGGTGGTACATGTATTACACCTTTTAATAAAATGCTCCGCTGGGCGCAGCTTGATACGACCGCAGAGGTCGAACCCTGAACAGTTGGGGCAAGTATGGACACAACATTCAAGCTTGATACAGCACTGAATTTGGATTGTGATTAAATATTTGACACAGCATAGGTTTCTGACACAGAATGAATGTGGTCTAAGAACTTAAAAATTTTTAATTTACCTATTCAAACCATATTATTCTTTGCTTTTATATATAAATCAGAAATAACCAATTTAAAATGGAAAATTTTAAAGAAAAAAAAAATCCCTCCCCCAAATTTTTTGAACCCCCTTATGATTCATCACTCCCAAACTCAATCCCAGCCTTCCCTTTGTGGTATGGTACCTTGCAGTACAATTTCAGAGAGATCCATACACTTGAACACAGGTTATTGTCTGGAAACTAGAAAAATGCTTGTTTTTAGGCCCATTTTTGGCCCCAAATTCCTAAAGGTTTAGGGCAATTACCCCCAAACTCAAACCCAGCTTTCCCTTTGTGATATTGAACCTTGTAGTACAATTTCATAAAGATCCATACACTTACACACAAGTTATTGTCCTGAAACTAGAAAAATGCTTGTTTTTTGCCCCTTTTGGCCCCTAATTCCTAAAATTTTAAGGCAATTAGCCCCAAAATCAATCCAAGCCTTCCCTTTGAGGTATGGTACCTTGCAATACAATTTCAGAGAGATCCATACACTTGAACACAAGTTATTGTCTGGAAACTAGAAAATGCTTGTTTTTAGGCCTTTTTTTGGCCCCAAATTCCTAAACGCTTAGGGCAATTACCCCCAAACTCAAACCCAGCTTTCCCTTTGTGATATGGAACCTTGTAGTACAATTTCATAAAGATCCATACACTTACACACATGTTATTGTCCTGAAGCTAGAAAAATGCTTGTTTTTGGCCCCTTTTTGGCCCCTAATTCCTAAAATTTTGAGGCAATTACCCCCAAAAATCAATCCCAGCCTTCCCTTTGTGGTATGGTACCTTGCAGTACAATTTCAGAGAGATCCATACACTTGAACACAAGTTTTTGTCTGGAAACTAGAAAATGCTTGTTTTTAGGCCCATTTTTGGCCCCAAATTCCTAAACGTTTAGGGCAATTACCCCCAAACTCAAACCCAGCTTTCCCTTTGTGATATTGAACCTTGTAGTACAGTTTCATAAAGATCCATACACTTACACACATGTTATTGTCCTGAAGCTAGAAAAATGCTTGTTTTTTTCCCCTTTTTGGCCCTTAATTCCTAAAATTTTGAGGCAATTACCCCCAAAAATCAATCCCAGCCTTCCCTTTGTGGTATGGTACCTTGCAGTACAATTTCAGAGAGATCCATACACTTGAACACAAGTTATTGTCTGGAAACTAGAAAAATGCTTATTTTTGGCCCCTTTTTGGCCCCTTATTCCTTAACGTTACCCCCAAACTCAATTCCAGCTTTCCCTTTGTGGTATGGCACCTTGCAGTACAATTTCAGAAAGATCCATACACTTACACACAAGTTATTATCATGAAACTAGAAAAATGCTTGTTTTTTGCCCCTTTTTTGGCCCCTAATTCCTAAAATTTTGAGGCAATTACCCCCAAAATCAATCCCAGCATTCCCTTTGTGATATGGAGCTTTGTGGTACAATGTCAGAGAGATCCATACACTAACACACAAGTTATGTCTGGAAGTTACAAAAATGCTTATTTTTGGCCCCTTTTTGGCCCCTAATTCCTTAACTGTTGGTACCATAACTGCCAAAATCAATCCCAACCTTCCTTTTGTGGTATTGAACCTTATGGTAAAATTTCATAGAGATCAATTCACTTAAACTAAAGTTAGAGTGCGAAAACCAATGTGTCTTTGGACGACGATGACAACGACGACGACGCCAACGTCATACCAATATACGACCAAAATTTTTTTTATTTTTGCGGTCGTATAAA